TAAAACTACCTTTTTCGATAGATTTTTGAGATGCATCCGTAACTCTTAATTATATGGTTGCAACCTTATATAAACTTTTTTCTTATCATATCAGCATGTTCCTGTTATGTAAAGAAATTAATCTTCTTATTCCTTTGAAATGAATTTCTTAAATCAAATAATTTAACAAACAAATAAGAAATATTTGAGGGCTAAAACAAAGCATATGTGGCATGCGCGGTCCACTATACAAATTTTACACGTGGCAAAACGTCAGTAGCTGGGCTGTCCCTTTCGCGTGACATTTCAAACCTCCATCAGCTGACGTGGCACGCTCGTATTGGACCAACGGTTCCCACGCTGACGCAAGCGAGTGGGTTTCTACGTTTCCATGCAAGTCTTGGACACGTGTCATGATATGGAATGCCCATGTGTCGAGAACGGGTCTCGGCCAATGATTGTGAAATTGACTTTGGAGCACCAAATCCCATGTGCGTGACGCCATATGTGTAGTTCACACGGGTAAAACTTAGGAACCTTGTCCACTTTTATATATTGTTTTTAAGGTTCTTAGGATCGTATTATGTGAGAATATTTATTTTTAGTACAAAAAAATTACAATTCATCCTAACAGTTAAATACCTAATTGGATTAAATACCCAATTGGATGATTTAAGGTGTGTTATGAAGTTCAAGAAATTTTTTTTTGGGCTTTTAATGTAGTTACAAATACATTTACAACCACTTGATTTGAAATTTGATGGATAAGAATGGTTGTGATAAATAGTCTCTTTGCATACTTTTCTAAAAGTTTTTATACTTCCACTGAAGATAAGATATATGCTTGCCCTGTTTAGCCGTCCAATTTAGATCAACCACTGACTATTTGATCTATAGATCTCATGCCTCAGAGTATTTTAGTTTTAGTTTCTTTTTTTCCCCCCCCCAAATTATATGAATATGAAATTTGGTACGTATCATTATCTCAATGAATTGCACCTAAACAAAAAAATTTAAAATAAAATTTTGATAAAATATAATAACCAAAATTACCTTGAACATTTAGAGGTATTTTGATCATTTTATTTTATTGAAAATATTTTTTTAATATTTTTTTCACTTGCGACTTTAAGAGAGGAGTGGACACCCAAAATTTGATGTCAAAATAGTTTGTAAAAAAATTTAAAATAAAATAATGTAGAAATGTGACATTATGATTGGGGCCATTTCAGCCGTCCATTTAGAATAGACGGTTGGATAGAGAGAAGCATATAAGTTTTATGCAATATGGGAAGCATAAAAGCTTGCCATTTTTCTAATGGGATATATATATATATATATGAGGGATTATATACTATGAGACTATTTATCTTGGTTACAAGAAGGTTATAATTACTCTAGCCATTGGATATGTCTAATTGGATGGCTTAGCGTGCATCACGAAAATTGATAAACTTTTTTTTAAACTTTGAGTCTAGTCAATAATACTTTTACAACCACTTGATTTGAAATTTAATAGATAAGAGCAGGGTTTTAAAAAACGCCTAGTCGAACCGGACGATTTTAAATTGTAAACCGCCCGATGATATCATCAACTGGTGGTTCTGACGTCATCACTCCGACACGGATACGTGTGCACGTGGGCACAAACACATGCGCGTGTGCTCACGCATACGCGCAAGTGTGCATGCGTACGCGCACGTGTGAGGTTGCCCCAATGTTTCCACACGTATGATTTAATTCATATTACATAGGTATTTATATACTAAAGTTGAATACCCATCTTTCGATGTGGGATAATTCCCAAACATCATTAAATGAAAAAGAAATGTAAATATATTCTATTAATAAGCAAGTTATAACTACATGTGGTGAGGTGGCGTGGTGGTTATGTTTTGTGCTTTATATATTATATAAATATTTCTGTAAATAATATAAAAGGCATAAAAAAATGAAAAATAAAAAAGTTAACTTTTTGTATAGCGGTTAATTTTTGTTGTATATAGTGGTATAATTATTTTTGTAAATAATATGAAAGGCATAAAAAATAAAAAATAAAAATTTTATTCTATTTGAAATCTCCATCTTTCTACTAGCAATCTCTTTCACTAAATTTATTATAGAAACCTAAAAAAATATATTTTTAAAAAATTGAAATGTTATTTCCAAAATTTGTACGTATTTTATTAATTTTTACATTGATAACCAAATTTTTTACATTATAAATCATGTAATGTACTATTTTTCTTACAGTTGTCAATAATACATTTTAAATGAGATAATATTATAAAATATTTTTAATTTGTTATTATTTGTCTAATAAAATAATTATAAAATGTAAACTAATAATTATAATTTCAATATATAATATTATAATTAGTTAGGTTGTAATAATTTTGGATTATAGTTAGTTAGGCTGTAATAATTTGGGTTTTTTTAGCGGATTAGGGTTTTTCGCCAAAACAAGATTTTAATGACCATTCTTTCGTTGATTAGTCTACTTTTTATAATAGTCCATGTATAATTATATATTTTATCCATGATAATTCTATAATTTTTCTTTTATGTGATGCAAATTTAATTATTAACATAACTTTATACAGGGAAATAGCATCTCAATATTCACAAATAGATGAAAAAAATAAAAGTTAATACTGTAGTACCCTCATTTCTTATTGGATTCCTAAAAAATAACATTTATAATTAATTTTAATAATTTTTTCGGATTTTTTTGAAGCTTTTAATCCTACCGATTCAGCCGATTTTCGATCCGGATCGTCGATTCACCGATCTGGATCGTTTTTGAAGTGCCCGATCCGGGTCACCGATCCGCTTTTTAAACCATTGGATAAGAGTGATTGTGACCTATTTGTATCAAAGATAAATGATTTTTTTTGTACTTTTCTTATATATATAAATCTCATTGGATCTATATTTCACAATAAAACCTGCCTGTTCTAATTTTTTTTGCAAATTTTTCTTAGGAAACGCCCAATTTTCTATTTCAATTTCAGGATAGTTCCTACCAAATTTTTTTCCTTACAATCGATATTAAATTTTTGCTGAAACTTTCATAATACCCCTCATCCCCCCTCCAATATTTTATCACTTCTTTACCTAGAAATTGACATTGACAATTTATACTAAATAAAAAATTTCTCTTCTTTCTTCTTTACACTTTACAATTTCATCCGTCTTCTCCATAGATGAGAGAGAGAGAAAGGAGGCTGGTGATTCTTAGGAGAGGGGTGATGGTACCTTGGCCATGATGTGAGAGAGAGATGAGCTCCATGTGAGAGGGCCATAGACTTTAAACACCCATTATCTGTACATATATAGATATTAGGTATTTAAATCCTCTCACTTATGTTCCTTTTGTGGGTTTCGAAACCCACTTTAAGAAACTATAATTAGGCAAATTTGGACAACTGCCCACTATTGCTTTTTTTGTGAATGGGCTCAGTTTAGATATCTAACAATCAAACCCATCTCCCATTTGAAAAATTACAAAACTAAGCCGAACACCTAAACTGTCTCCCACCTAAAAAGGAAGGCCCCAATTCAAACATATGGGGTCCAAACTAAAGGTAATTTGGGAATTAAATAAGAGTAACGATCCTATGAGACCCTCCCACATCAATATGTGTAAGACCCCAAAGGATCACCATTAAATTTGACACAAATCTCTAAAAACGTTATCACATGGTGTGGGACTTGACTTTTCAAGATATATGTGCCAAATTTAATGGTGATCTTTTAGGGTCCTACACATATGGATGTGGGAGATATCCGATCGTTACTCATTAAATAATGACAAAAAAGTGTAACATTTTTGTAAAATGTAAATCATATTGAGATTGTCTCCACTGTATTAGATAATCATTGCAAACGATAACATCATAGTTATCATTTCTTATCTAGAACCATAGATGATACCTCAGTTTCATATGGTTCCTTGATGGTCACGAATAACCTACAAATTTAAGACTGAAACACCAATCTTGCCTCGGCATATAGGTAGAGTAGAGATGGATTGGAATTTCAGGAATTAGACCAAAAAGATTCTGTCCGCTATAAAAATGAAAATGTGTGCCTCTAAATCTATCTCATCCTTACAGCTGATCTTTCAATAAAACACACGTTGTCTTAGTAGATATATTGACCTATATCTTTCATCCCTCTGACTACAAGTAAAATTAGATATTCCAACGGAACAAGCTCGTTCATAAAGCATGTAACTGATAAGAAAAGAGAACAACTCCATCCCAATGAGGAGGAATGATGAACATATAAAAGAAAAAATAAAGAAACTTCTACATTTTCTATTGCACTTCCTTCATCCCTTTTCCTCTTTCTCTGGGGGGAATATAGTAAAGATAAATAATTACAATTACTTCATTCCCGATAGTTCTTCTTTAACTAGTAGCAGAGAGTAACATACTATGGATTAAAATAATGAGCAAGTGTTGTTTGAACATTTTTACCAATGTATAGAGAAGTTGCATTTTGGATACTTTATATTTTTCCACATGACTCAAACCTTTGTGTTTGTATCTTTCCACTCACTAGATGGATCTCTGCTATGGTGGTATGGTAATAAGAGAAATTCCATAGATCTTTTGCTCCTACTTACGATATGATGACTAATTAACTAATCTTGTTTTCAATCATAGGTTCCAACAATGTTTAGGAATCCGAACCGTTGGCAAATTTGTTGTCGAAGTATCTGAACCGTCACCTACTTCAACCATATAGGAGAACGGGTTTTGAAAGTAATTTTTTCTCTTGATAGATGGAATGATGGTATTTTAGACAGCATATAGAGAAACTGCAGGAAACTAGAGTGTACAGGTATCACACGGATTTTTTCTTAATCAGTGAAGCCTGAATTTGGCCCTAGTTATATAGGTTGAGGACTCGCGAGATCGAGAGAGAGAGAGAATTATACAGAGCCATAATTTTAATAGGGAAAGGCCAGCCATGCGTGGAAAAAAGAGAGAAGAAATCATTGGCCTGTACAATGCTAAAAAGCTTTTAATGGTTTTCTTATTTCAGTGGCAAAAGTCTACATAAAACAAATGGCAATCATCAGGTGTGAGAGAAATGGCAAATAAATAACAGCGTGCACATAAAAGGATATCATGGCCATCCATTTTCAGGACTCTGAAAAAAGCTTAAAACCTGAGTGCAACGATCTGCAGCATACATCAGCATACATCAGAAATGTGTTCCCAGTATAATAATTTATAAGAGAGAGATACCAGAGGGAGCTTACAATATAATCGAATCAAGATCAGCTTCACATCATCCACCAGGTCTCGGAGCACGATCTCTCACTTCAAACATCCTCCACTTAACATATCCAATAAACATCTACCAGGCTTCGTTAACCAAAAAACAACTGGTTCTGGTCAAATCTCCAAAACCTGCGTACTTCATTATCCAGCTTAAGACCAGTGCGGGGAGAGGGAGAAAAAAGGGGTTGGGGGGGAGAGAGAGGCATATTTACATGTATCTTCTAAGCACTGGACCATTAACAATGTGATCTTTCCACCAAGAACTTTTACCCAACACAAGGCCACTGCAAGTACTTCAGTTCTTATCCATTTTCTCGCTGGTTCAATTCGTCAGAAAATGATATTTCGAATCCGCATAACCCTCAACATCCCATAGAAATGAACCAAAGGCCACCGCCTCCAAAACCAATGCATTCAAACTCTCAAAGCTCACAGCTATTACCTCGTCATTCAAAGCATCAAGAGACCCATCCTCCGCCATCCTTATATCCGGTCTTCCAAACAAGGCTTGTGTTTGCTTCTCAATGACCGACACAGCCTCTTTTGATCTTATTGTTGCGTATCTTTGCAGAGACTCAGAATTCAAATGCATAACATATGATCTTAACAGGTATGACTTAGGATCATCGGAATCTGACTCAGTTACCAGAAATTCAGCATCAAAAAATTCGCCCTCAGTTACTTGGTCACTCTCATCTTCTTCAACTTCTAGAGAGAGAGTACCCATGCTTCTCTCTAGTTGAAACCTTTGATCTACTCTTCTAAGGAAGTAACCATACATTATTGAGGCAGCATAGAGCTTCCCAATTCTTAGCTTGCTTATTTCAATTCTGGGTTGAGTGGGATTAGGCCATCGGCCTCCTAAAACAAGAGCCAAGTGGTTCTCGATCATCTCAAAGGCTTCGTTTGAGTGGATGGTTTGGAGCTTGCTTTCTTGGTTTGGCCATGAATATGAGGGTGTGGGAATGTTGGGGAACATGGAAACTCCGACGTCCATGAACTTCTGCACAATTAGTGCATATATGATCTCCTCCAATGCCCTTTGTCGCTCCTTGTCCTTTACTTCGGCAATTCTCCTGGTTTTTTTCGATACACCATTTAAAATCCATGATGGCGTGGAGAAAAGAATAACACAAATTGAAAAGAAAAAGGAAAGCATAACTTCACACAGGTCTTCCAGATCTAGCAATGAATTGGTAACAAACATCTACATTTCTCTTTGTTTCTTTCAAGATTTTGTGCAAATAGTGTAACTGGAATGCGTATTATCCATATAGAAGATATTCCGAGTATGCCGGTGTACCAAAGCTTGAATAATGATGTTATAACCCATAACCCATGAAGCAAAAATGCATGATGTTTACATCCTCATAAAACATTAATAATTAGATATCAAATTCTAACAAAATGACCCACTATCCCATTCGTGATAAGAAAAAATACGAAGCCAAACACATGGTATAATAATAGCCATGAAGAAATACAGGAATGGGTATAGATTTATCATACATACTTCTAGAACCACGTCATCTTAAAATAACACTATCTGTGATTTATATTAATTTTTTCATTGTTATATGTGATATCATTGCTAGCATTTCATCCATCAATCAATCCACTGCAAATCTTGAGGAAACACAAAGATGCTAACATGGATATGATCAATTCTGAGATAAAATAGAACATAATCTTACTTGAAGAAGCAGAATAGATATGATGCCCTCAATGAAGAGATAATCAGGTCAGTGAGAACACAAAGAGATTCAAAATACTCTTCATCAGATACCTCACGAGTCTGATCTAGGTACTATCCCTAAATAAAAGAATTCATGCAACATCTAGCATGCCAACAGTCACTCAATTGGCTCAAAAGCTAGAAACTTACTATAACAAAGGCTAGGATCATAGTACGATATAAATGGCTAGTAGATTATTCACCGAATATGGTGACCAGTGAGCAATAAGCATGTTGAAGATGATAGTGGAAGAGCACAGATTTGAAGATGTATCTTGTGCGTAGCATGACCATCTGAGAAAACTAACAAAGCAGGTATCACCTACTTGTAGGTCACTCCATCAGTTGCTTCAGGGTCAAAGGCTCTCAATACAAGAGACTTAAAACTTGGGAGAGACAGCGATCCAATACTAGAGGTCCAGATGTGAATTTACTTATCATCCATTGGGTGGTAAGAGAATATATGTTTGACGATCAACGGAAGTAAATAAAAATATCTTGGCGGGAACATCCAAAGAAGCACCTGTTTCAAAAGAATAACTCTACCAAAGATAAATGTGGTCGGCTACGACTAAATAAAAAACCAGTATCTTGCTTTCTTTGTATTGCTTCAGCGAAAGTTGAATACTAAGTCTATCTTTTCTGCAATCAAAATGATCTGCTTTGACGAATCAGCTAAACTGCCGACGAAACTTTGCTTTTCCAAGTTTTATAAAAAAAGGAAAAAGTGAACAAAGAAAAATATGATTGAGCTTGACAAGAAAACGTATCTAACTGCGATTCGAAGCACCCAACTGACTGACCTATATTTCGCCAAGTCTGCAGGACAACATGTCCATACAACGCATACATGTCTACATATATTTATATATAAAACTAACTTTTGACTTTTTACTAAAAGAATTAACTTTTTTAAATAAACATGTTGGTCCAAATCGATGACACGTGTCCAAATTATAGGCATGAGAACTCAATAACCGTACGTGACATGTGTCTCTTACAATTTGGATCATGCTTGTCTTACAAAAAGGACATGTGTCTTGTTTGTCCAATGTGTAGACTCGTGTGTCCACATAGCAAACATGCCGTGCCTGCAAATCCAAAAAATGAAAATTCCAAACACATGTCAATACGGATTTCATGTGTCTGTGTCTTGTATGTTGACAAGCGTGTCAATGTAACATAGATTCTCATGATCTCCAATGGTTAAAGCAACCTTTAAGAAAGCGGATTCAGTTGCTTAGGCTTCTAGCCAGCCCGAAGGAAGGTTTTTTTTTCATATGAGGTGTGTATGAAGTGTTAAATTGGATTATATGAAAGCAGGTGGGACATGTGTGCCCTTGAGATGAGAATGGACAATACATAGAGAGAGAAAGAAGAGAGAGAGAGTGGGAGCAGTAAAAGTAAATCCTGGATTTCCACTATGCCCCCCGAATTCACCTTAGAGAAGAGAAAGAATAGAGAGAGGCAGAGAGAGAGAGAGAGAGAGAGAGAGAGACTGGGCTTTCTTTTGAAAATATTGAATTGATTCTCCCCCTACTGCAAGCAAACACCCAACACTCCACCTCACATATTTACTGAAGGATTCACCTTAGAGAGAGAGAAAGAGAGAAAGAGGCTTGAGAGAGAGAGTGTGTGTGTGTGTGAGAGAGAGAGAGAGAGGAGGGATTGGGGTTGCTTTGTGAGACACTCCTTCTTCGTCTTCTTTTTTTAAGGGGCCTTGCATTCTCGTACTTTTTATAAAGGGGACCTCCTTCTTCTTGCATTTAGTCTTCTTACTTTTTTTTTTTTACAGGATCGTCTTCTTCTTATTCTCACTTTTTTCAAGAGGGCATTAGTCTTTTTACTTTTTTCTAAGGGGGGCTTAGGTTTTAACTTTTTTGTCTAAGGGGGGTGATAATACGCAGGCCAAGATGCCCACCTAGCCCACAGCCGATGTGCCAAGGGGTCTCGCCAGCCTACACGCCCAGGTGGGCAAATTTTTCTTCAGAGGCTTAAAGCAGAAATAATAGATAATAACTAAAATACATGGCCCCCTAGAGGTTATTCCAATATGCTGTCAAAAGCAAAGTGTACCAAAAGAATTTAGAAGTCTTTTGAGATGTATTTGAAAGACTTTTCAAAAAAGTTTTGAGAACTAAATTATGACCATCAAGTTTTTCAAAGTAGGGTTCCAGTTTGCAACTTTAAGGTGAGAGAAACCTTTAGAAAATGAAGTTTGTCATAATTAAATAGATGAAATATCTTCAATCATCCATGCCATTAATGCCATGCATAATCAAAAAAGCAAATCAACAATAGAGACTCATGTATGCCTGAAATGCTGCAACAATATATGTATATGAGCTGTTGCTTGCGCTACAGACCATGAGAGTCTCTTCTCGCGTCTCACGCTCCTTCCCTCTCGTCTCCCACCTTCCTACCTGCTGGAACGATATCTACAAGCTGTATCCTAGGACCTTGCCGTCCTCCTCTCTTCCCCCCCCCCCCCCCTCCAGCTGAGATCTTCGCTTACCTCCTCCCATCCTTCCTCCCGTCCCTCCCCTAAGGCCTCCTTTTCCCAGGTTGTAGCCTCCACTAAGCCCATTATTTCCCCCACTCCGTGCAATCCCCCTCCTCTGCTTCAAGAGCATAGGAAACGCAGCACCGAATGGTCCCCTTTTCTCCCCTACTGTATCTCCATCGATCCAGGAGAGATCAAAAAATCAAAGCCTAAACTGCTCGCATCTCTGATTGGATGCTTCTAGCCTGAGCGCCATAACATCAGAGGCATTGAAAGGGTTGCACAAAAATACTGGAGGGAACCTAATATCACCTACAATCACCTCGCAAATGGCGAAATCATCTTCTCCTTCCCCTCTTCAAGCAGCGCTCAACTCGCTCTTCAAGATCCAAAATCCTTTTCCTTTCATGGAGCCTGTTGCTACCTTCGCTCTTGGTCGCCATCGGTGTGGTTAACTTTCAACAACATCCCTCTCCAAGCTTGGACACCCGACACTTTCCGCCGCCTCGCAGCTGCTTGTGGTTCCTTTATCTCGATCCATTGGATCTCGATTGAAACCCTCCCCCTGGGCTCAATCAGAGTTTTGGTGGAAGTCCTGGACCCCCTTTTGATTCCCAAAACTCTGTGGCTCGAAGTCAACGACCTCTTCTTCCCAATCTCTACCCTCTAGACTCTGGCTTCCCCTTCATCCCCTGCTTTCCTACACCATGCCACCCTCTCCAAACCTACGGTCGCAGAGGCTGCTTCTTGGACCCTGGTCTCAAAGAAAGCTCGTTCAAGCAGAAGACGTCGACAGACCCCTAAAAGGTCGATTGTCAACGGTAGCCTCAAAGCTGCCCAGCCCCATCCGATGGCCTTGTCTCCGGCCCAGCCACCTCCACCTTCCACATCTAGTGAAGGGCGGGCCTCCACTGACCCGCTTCCTAGGGTGCAGGCCCCCTCTGACCCGCCCATGACTGTTTCCCTGCCCACCTCTAGTTGACCCGGAAAAGAGGCTCGCAAGGACCTTTTGCCTCTCTCCTCGGGTACCACGACTGACCCGAGCCTGTCGTTTTCGAAAGACCCCATCATCCCTCCTCCTGCTTTGAGACCCCTTGACCAGTTGCCCCCTTCCTCTCCCTCCTTGGACACGTGTCATACGAGGCTCCTTCCAGCCCACTGATTTGTTCGGCATCGTCTGGGGCCACTCACCTACCCCCCTCGCCTTTTCCCCTCCCTCCTCGTGATCCTCCGCCTACCTGCCGTCGCCTCTCCCACCCTCGACCGACGCACCCAGCCACTTGTCCTCCTCGAGCATCCCCCCTCCACACCTGTCACCTGAGCCGCCCCCGTCTTCTCCCTTCGCCGACAACCTGACCTTGCCTGCTTCCCCCTCTAACCTACCTCTCTCGTTGTTCCCTCCCCTCTCTCATCAACCCCGGCTTCACTAGCCCTTCCCTCTTCCAGCAAGAGACTGCAAAGGAATCTCCTTCGTCACCTCAGCGGTCCTCTTCCCCCTCCAGTCAGCTGCACTCTTTGTCATTGCACCCTCCTTTCCCCCCCATCTCAATAACCTACCTCCCTCTTCACCTTTCTAACTTCTCACTGCCTCTCCATACCCCTGAGGAACCTACTGACCCTTCTCAACTATCCCCTATGGACCGTAACCTCCTTCCCCAAGGCATCGTGACCACTCAAACCTAGGATCTCCCGCCCCCGGATACTGACTCCCTTTCTTCCCTGTTGGCCCCCTTTCTCTCCTATACCCCCCACCTGGTTAGCTTCACCAGAGTCAACTCCCTTCACTTCACTTGGCCCTCTTACCACTCTACCCTTATCGCTACCCTCTCCTCCGTCCA